AATTCACAGAGATCTGCCTGCCTCTGCCTCCTGAGTGCTGGGATTAAAGGCGTGCACCACCACGCCTGGCCCTTATTCTTGTGTTTTTAATGTTGTCTAAAATCTCCCCAAAGCTGTAACTCAAATCTAGACCTCTTTAGAAACCCAGGTTTACCACAGCCTCTGCCCCATCTTCACTAAGATGTGTTACAAACACTTCAAATGTAACATATTGACTGAGGTATAGCTCAGTCTTAGAGCACTTGTCTATCATAGGCAAGGTACTGGGTTCTACCCCCAGTCCCACACACGCACAAAAGCCAAATGAGCCTAAAGCTCTTGGTTCTTGGTTCCCTACCTACTCTATTTTCCCCACAGTCCTCCCCATCTATTAAATGGGATGTCTGATCTTCCATTCACTCAAGCCAAAGACTGGGGAGTTATCTTTGGCTCCTGTTTTTTAAATCCCACAGTAAAGATCAGCAATCCCTGATGGTCAGCTGTCCCTTCAAAATAGAATCTGGCCACTTTATTTATTTTGAGACAGGGTCTCCCTGTAGCCTCAGCTGGTCAGCAACTCGCTATGTAGACTAGGTTGGCCTTGATCTCACAGAGATTCACCTGCTTCTGCCTCCTGATTGCTAGGATTAAAGGCATGTACTACCACACTCAGCTTGCTGGTCATTTTTTAAAAAAGATTTGCAGGGCTGGGCGTGGTGGTACACGCCTTTAATCCCAGCACTCGGGAGGCAGAGGCAGGCAGATCTCTGTGAATTCGAGGCCAGCCTGGTCTACATAGTGAGTTCCAGGACAGCTGGGGCTACAGGGAGACCCTGTCTCAAAAAGACCAAAAAAAAAAGGTATTTAATTCTATGAGTATTTTACCTGCATATACATATGTGCATTGTATGTATGCCTGGTGTCTGGTCCCAAGAAAGGCCAGAAGAGGGCACTGGATCTCCTGGAACTGGAGTTACAGATGGTTGTGGGTAGTGTGGGTATGGGTGCTGGGGAACCAGGCCCAGGTCCTCTGCAAGAGCAAAGTGCCCTTAACTGCTGAGTCATCTCTCCAGCCCTCCCCCTGCTTTTAAAAAATTATGTGTCTGTGTCTGTGTGGGTGCCCTCAAAGGCCAGAGATGTTGGATTCTCTGGAGCTGGAGTTACAGGAGGTTGTGAGCCACCTGACATAGGTGGCTTCACAAGAGAAGTATGTACTCTTAACTGTTAAGCCCTCTCTCGGGTCAGCCCCTGGCCACTTCTTACCAGCTCCAGCCCCTACGCCGGTTGGAGTCACTGTTACCTCTCTTTGGATGGGCTTCGCCTCCTGAGCAGAGCAGCGATACTACTCGCCTGCTTCCTCAACTCCACAGACTGTTTCTACCCACAGCTGCACTCATGTCTTCAAGATGTTAAGTGCAGTGATGTCATTCCTTAAGGCCCTTCGGTATCTCTTCTGCCGCTGTGCTGTCTCTCCTGCACAATAAAATCCAGATTTCTTATCATGGCCTGCAATGCCCAGTGGGACTGGCCTGCTACCTGTCTGGCTTTATTCACTACCGCGTTCTGCTCATCCCATGTGCTGACCCCCACATTCTTGTGTGAACACACCTGGAAATGTTCTGTCTGGAACACTTACACAGGTGCAAGTCTTGTCCTCTCATGTCCTTTGTGTCTGCTCAAAAGCCACCTCACTCCTGGGCCCTTTCCCATCCAACCCCTCTAAAATAGCACCTTGGTTTTTCTCTGACCTCCTCTGGGCCCTCACTCCACTTTTGCCTACTACTGGCCACCACCTATCAGAATTCATTTCCATGTTTTCTTTGCCTGTCTTTCCAGCAGGAGCAACACCCCATGGGGACCTTTGGTGCCAGGCACATAAGAGTTGCTCATGAGATGAGCACAGCAGGCTGGTTTTTCCTGGCCGGTCGGGGCAGGTGGCTACAGTGGTTTCTTGTGTACCACCAGGGGGTGCCAGAGGTCGCTGAGCTCTGGCGAAGACACTGTCATAACAGGCAGGGAAACGAAGACAGGTGCCAGTTCTCCAGTCTAGTCTATTCACCTGGTAGGGACTGTGAGTCAGAGCAGGGCCACAGGTCAAGAGTCCAGGCTTAATGTTCTTTATTGTAAGCATTAGCGAGCCCTTTGACCCATAAGCTTGGCCAGTCCTGCCCTCAGCCAGCATAAGGTGGACCTTTTAGGTCATCTGCCTGCATCTGGCTTTGTGCCAGGCTATGCTGCTCTGCCATACTACATAAGTCAGAGAGGATGTGGCAAGCATTGGAAGGTCACAGTTAGGTCCTGGAGGTGATCAGGTTCAGGGGCATGGGCTCTCTGGGGCTTTAAGAGCCTGCTGCTTAGACAGATGAGAGGCTGATCCAGGAAGACCTCCAGAGTCAGCCTGCCAATTGTTTCCCCAGAGCTGAGCTGAGCAGCAACAACTGGTGGTAGATTGTGTCCTGAAGTTTTTGGTAGCCAGCAGGTGCCAAGAGCAGGACAGTCCCAGTGGTACCTTAGATGGGGTAGAGATGCCAGAGGCTGTGGAAGACAGCGGGAGGAGGGATGCACAGGAGAGTCGGTTCAGTCCCTTGATGTAATGTTACCAGTTCTTGGCCATTGCCTATAGTTCTGCAGTCCTTGGTGAATTCCTCAGTAGTCAGAGATATTCCCATGGGCCCTGGGTGTATTCTACCCCCGCCATTAGCTTCTAGAGATGTGGATCATTGTAGTGAGCTGTCTGGAGTCAGGCACCTAGGAGTACCCTCTTGCCTGACCAGGCAGGACCCCTAAGCCTGTTCTCATTTCTCCCTCAGTCAGGGCAGCTCCTGCCCAAGGCAGAGGGTGACAGCTCCCAGAGAAGGCCCTGGTTCCCCTGAAAGCTGTCTCAGCCTGTCCTGACCTGCACTGGAAGCGGGGGTCTCCAGGGTGGGTCTTCAGCACCTGGCGTACTTCTGGGGGAGGCTCCAAACCCAGCTGCTCTGCCCGATGCCAGCGCTGCAGCCGTGTGATACCTGCCAGGTGGAAAGAAGACTCAGGGGCCACACGGGAGGGCAGAAGAGCCCAGGCTGAAGGTAAGGACACTTTCTTGAGCCTTCACACATCTCAATCTCAAGAGACAGTGTCAAGAGTCAGGCAGGCACTTGGATTGTTGCAGGTGACAACTGTTTTCCAGTGTGACCCGGGGCTGGGGCTGGTGTTCTCACCTGTGCAAGGCCCATACTGCCAGGCCAGGTCAAACAGCCTCAACAGCTCCAGGTCCGCTTCCTCCTGGCTGAAGGGCTGGGTTTCTTCCCCTGCAATGACACGCAGCTCCTCAGGCCTATTCAGGCCTTTGCCCTGCCCTGGCCTCACAACTGTGCCGCTGTCCCTCGCTCTCTCCTCACCCGCATGCGTCTTCCATTCTGCAGCCAGACCAGCTGTCGGAAGTACAGGACGTGCTACTTTCCCCTCTGCCCCCCCCACCCCACGTCCTTGGGTCCCTGAGTGTCCATTCTTCCTGCCACCCCCACACTTCAGAGACCTAGCTCTGGTGCCAGCTCCCCCTTGCTGTGCCCAGCCGGCCCCTCCCTCCTCTTCACGACAGGGTAGGAGTCGGTGATGAGGCGCTTCCGGCCCATGGCGGCCACCCAGGCAGGGGGAGAAGGCGATTTCGGGAAGAGACAGGCCACTGGGCCTGCGAGAGACAGCTGCAGAAAGCGAGAGATAGGGCCAGAGCAAGACGGGCCAGCGCCGGGCAGACACTGACCCAGACAGGCAGGAGGAAGTCCGGGGTTCCAGCGGATGACGCCCGTCTTCCGCCCCCGCAAGCACGCAGCCCGCAGAGACCCAAGCCAATGGCAGGCCGCTGGGGCGGGGGCGGGGC